AATGGGGACTTCAGGTTAGTCTAAAAATGACAGAATACTTAGCTGTCAATTCCAACGCTTGTTTTGTAGTCTTCATAGATGATAACGTCCAGATTCAACAAGTAGACAAATTTAAATACCTGGGTGCTACTATCAACAACGACGGTTTGGGCAAAGAAGAAATTCAAACCCGAATTCAGAAGAGCAAACAAGTTATTGGTTGTCTTAATAGCCTCTGGTGGGACCGAAACTTGTCTGCAACAACTAAAAAGAGACTTGGACGAACATTGGTGGAGTCAGTTCTTTGCTATGGTTCAGAGCTATGGTCTTTGAGTGCAGATACGAAGCGCAAAATCCAAGTTGTTGAAATGGACTATCTTAGAAGGAGCGCTAGGATGGAAAAAAAGACAAACATCGAGGTCAGGCGTATCATGAATGCATCGGAGGAGACAGTGCTAGATCGAATTGCAAAATCCAGCTTAAAGTGGTTTGGACATGTTCTACGTATGCCGGAGAACAGGTGGCCAAAAAAAGTTTTTCAATGGACTCCCCAGGGTAGAAGAAAGAGAGGCAGACCTAGAAAATCCTGGAACGGAACGGTTAAGGAAGCAATGGAAGCTCGTAACCTAGAAGCTGATGATGCACTAAATCGAGACGTGTGGCGTAGGGTAACGGGAAGGCAGCAATAGGCTGTAGTTGAAAAAAAGTATCAAATAGTTATACCAAATCCCGTTTAAATAGGTAAATTTCTGAAATGACAACTTCATTTGACAGTTATCTTTTACTTTGACTGGTGCTCATAAGTAAATACAGGGCCATAAGAAAGGAGAAATATTTAAAAAGAAATCGGCGATAACTCGTAAACGAGCTAATCAAAAATATCTAAAGTTATTCTTTTGAATGAGTGCTCTTCAATAAACTCAAATAGAATTATTCTCTAAAATAATTAGGGAAGTCAATAATTGACCCCATTAAAATTTACATGGGATTTCCTATGTCCCGTCCGACGATGCAACACTCGGTATAATATTAACAAGTAAATTTACTAAGCGTATAAAATATAATGGAATCAGATATTCGATCCCACATGTCGTATGTGTCCAACCAATGGTCAATTCCCCATTGTAAATAAGATATTTAAGTTCTATTATAGTTCTGATTGACTGGTCCTTTGTGCTTGATAGAATTTCCTTATTGTACAAACACATTCTGAAATCTTGATGACCCGATTCCCATTTCAAAGGAGCTTGCATTTCCTTTGTTCTCTTTTCTTCTCCTTTTTTTACAGCAATGTAAATATCGATAAGGGGAAGGCGGTTAAATTAAAAAAAATATATATTTTTTTCTTTATTGGACGAAGGCATACTTAGCCTTCACCACTGAAACACAAATTTTTAAAATAAAATGTTTCTTTTATTTTTATAAAATACCATTGCGCTTGGCGTCGGAAACTGGAGATGTTTTTCGGAACCGGAAATTTCGGTACTACATTTTTAAACAACCGAGATTTCCCGGATGAGAACACTTATATATTTTTATGAAAACATTTCCAAAACACCTTTGTGCGTAGAATTTAATTATTGTTTAAGTATAATTTTTTAAAAATTAATAATTTAAGAATTATCAAAAGAAAAATTTATTTTTTATTTGGGACACCCTGTAATTAAAATTTTTAGAATTAACCCGAAAGAATATAGTACACTTGACACTTGATATTTTGTTATAGTCTTCTTCGAAATACAGAGTTTTTAAAAGTTCGCCACTTTTAGCTGGTAGGTTCTGGACCCCTTATTGATGATCTGCCTCTAATAGAATTCGAAAACATATTTTTCCAGTAAGACGAGGCACCGCCTCAGAACACTGATTGAAATTTTTGCAGCCAGTTTCGAGTATAATTGAATAGCTAACCAAGATCCCAAGACTTTTATATTTGGATTTTTATCTTGGCGGAAGAACAAAGGTTCTTATATTTAAATTGCCCGTATAATCTAGACAAGAATTAGAAGTACTTAGCGGTTATGCGAGGGTATCTTTCACCCCCACTGAGTTAATAACTTCCGCGAGAAATGTCATAAACGGTCCCGTCTGTCCATAACAGAAGACGGTCGACATGTCGAACACCTATAGCAAAATCTCATGTCTTGGTTTGCTATTAATTTTTATTGTTATTAGATATAGTTTAAATGGGTTGATGTTGTTAAACATAGTTTAAACTGTTATAAAATTCTGCATCTCTCATTGCAATATTATTTTCGTTTTAACTGCTGCTCACAGCTAGAATTTTTTTGCATTACAGCCGGTGCCGTTCAAAGCCTATTAATTTAAAGCGGGCGAATTTTTATATACTCTATATCTCGAAGAGGAATCGAGCAAATTATCAAGTATGTTATATTTTTAGAAAGGTAATTTTAAATTATTATCATAATTATTTTTAATTAATTATAAATTATATATATACAGGGTGTCCCAAATAAAAAATATTTTTTTCTGTTGATAACTCTTAAATTATTAAATTAAAAAAATTATACTTGAACCATTAAATTATACATAAAAGGGTGATTTAGAAATGTTTTCATAAATATACAAAATTTTCCATAGCAAAAAAGTTACAGCGATTTGTTAAAAATGCACATTCTTGAAAAACACCTCGAACCTCTTTTAATCGGTTTTCACCATCGCATCGTATTTTTGATGAAAATTGAGCTCCATATACCTATATTAGTTTTCGTTTATCTTTTATAGAAAAGGCTGTTTCCCTTTAAAAGTGTTCAACTTGGCCCACCCAGTACAATTTATTTTATATTAATTAATTATTTAAAATTTACTATATGAGTATATATTGAAATAATTATGCTCTCCAAGTCTCCAACACCTTATTGTTTTATTTATTATGATTCGACTCACAATAATAAACACTCAAAAAAAATTGTTATTTTTACATAACATACATTAACGATTTGATAAAAAAAGAAATTAAATCCAAATAAACATTTATTTTAAATATTTTTGTTGTTAATATTCATGAAAGTTATTAAATTTAAAGATCGTTTATGTAAATAACCCCTATAGCAAAAAAAATGTTGGATCATAACAAAAAACGTTAACGATGCAAACAAACAATTAATAAATTAAACTAAATTATTCCAAATTTGTTGTGTACACTGTAGTCGTAATCTCTCTTGATTTATTTAATCAACATACTGAACACACAGTTATATTTATTTGGGCAATGCTTTTTGTGCTGTATCAGATACAGAATTTATGCAATAAAACGAGGTTGATCTGTGTTGCATAGCGTAGGGTAGCGCTACTTTGAATCGTGTAAGTAAAGTATGTTTTATAAAATTTATAAAACATACTTTGTAGCGTTTTTTAAACAACTACCACTGCGAACGGCAGCTTTTCATCGGAGAGCAGTCGTGGATAAGGTATTTCACTAGAGAGAAAATTAATCAATAATAATAAACAAAAGATATATAGATATTGGGCGCCAGGCATGTACAGAGAAAGAAAACACAGTTGTATAATACTTAAAACTAATGACTATATTTATTCGTGATGAATTCTGATGGTAAATAGCATTGTACAATTAATATAATTATTATAGTGGTTACTTGTTGAGTAAAACTCTATATGTAAATAATATTAAATACGTTCTATGAAAAGACTATAAAGAAAATACAATGCGTGTAACGTTATAGAAAATATAGGAAAAGTAGCATTACTTTATTTAAATTGTTAAATTTATACGGTGTTAAATCAGATGTGTTGCAACCTGTAGATTCTAGAATCTATCTCGTTATTCATCTGTTAGTATAGCGTAATAATAATGTCTATAAAATGTAATACTATTACAATGCGTGATATTATGAAATCTAAAATCTAAATCACACTTTTACTACTGCATCGACATAAATATCCTTAATAATCTAACCACTAAATATAGTCTGTACGCTATTGTTTAAAATGTACGTTACTGTTTAAAATGTACGTGACTGTTTAAGACTGAAAACATTTTAGATGTTAAATGCAAAACTAGAACTTAAATATACACTTAGCTGTTCTTTTATGTAACCCTGCTTCAAACAGTAGCAGCGCGAGGAGGTCTAGCATCTCTGTACTGTCTGTCGGCGATCCAGGCTTAGAAATGGGGGTGAAGCAGCACGGGGCTCAAGCCACATCCACGCTGGGGCACTCTATGTGTAAGACAAATCAATCCTACTGGGGACACTATCTACTATTATAGACATCCGTCCATAAGATAGTGGCACAAGAGAACACTACTAGGACCTTGAAAAATAGTCCATACCTTGGACACTTGTCCGTGAGACAATGTCCGTCCGTGAGACCCTAAGAACACGAAACTCTTGTTTAAAATCAAACACCGTCTAATAAACAAAATGAACCTACCTCGAAATACTTCCGAGGGCTCAATAAATAATAAACAATCTGTCCTGTCTTCCAAATGACATTCTGGAGGACAAAAGCAAAGGGACGCCAACGTGCCAGCCAAATACAAATACAAGTTGGGACATCCGTAACTCTACCCTAAAAATATTCACTAATAATATCGAATCTAAAAGGAAAATAACTCAGCTTTACCTGTAGCTTCGAAATAGCAGCTGATTCAGATTATACAGCAAGATTTAAATAATCACCATTTCTAAAAGCTGGGATAAAACAGAGCGTCAAAACAAAGTGAGGTTAAGCACGGAGAGTTGACAGAAGCGATGTTGACAGCGCGCGCCTTCACAGAATAGTAACAGGGTTGTGTCGAACGATCACAGGGTTGGCGACCAGGGAACGTAAAAATTACGCGTCAAATATTCTATCCGGCCAGAACGAGAGGGAATCCGGTGATGATAGGCCAGACATCATATATTATATATAAAAAAGACATGTAACGAACTAAAAACGTTACAACTTTACTTACACGATTCAAAGTAGCGCTACCCTACGCTATGCAACACAGATCAACCTCGTTTTTTATATTTAATATAAAAAAATACAAAAGTACTTACAGCTGGAACCTGCTCCTCCTCGGGATGCTGCGCCGGCTGCAGCTCCTGGTACGATTCGCTCGACGATCGCCTGCTGCTCCCCGCCCCGCAGACCGCTCGGCGTAGGGCGCGCGTCACCAGCGCCCAGCACAGCCCGCAGCGGCGACGTGCGGCGGGAGCGCCGCCGCTGTGACGTCGGCGACCTCCCGCCGCGCCGCCCCCGCCCGTCACCTGCCGGCCGCCCGCGCCATCCCCGCAGCACGCCACCGCCCCGCCTGCCTACGCGCCGCTCGCCCGCGCACCTGGCCCTCTCGCCGGTGCGCAGCCCGCCCGACGCCTTATGTTCGTCGCATGGTGGCTGGCGCAGTCTAGGTCGGACGAGATCACTGAAACAAAACATACACGTGTTTAGTACTAAACTAAAAAAAATATAACTAATTTTACATAAAAAAAATATTGATACATCATCAATATTAATGATTTTCGATCATTCGGTATAATACGGTCAGGAACATGCAATGTATACTCTGTTTTTTTTCTCAGGTAAGATTTCGACAGACGATGACAGAAGAAAAGCAGATGACATCCCATACCAATCTATTTATTTTACTAAAAAAAGTTTCTAATAATTTTTAAGTTAACTATGGATGGGTTTAAATATAAATCCGTCATACGTCGTCTCTTGTTGTTTTTAACCAGTTTTATTGGTTTATTTCAAAAATGACAGATCGTATTTCAATTTTATTGGTTTGACGGAACGATGAACGATAAACGGACGCCGATGCGTATGAACTCGCCTTTAGATTTTTTAGATTTTTGACGCTTGTCAAAGTCTTGCCAAATTATAGGTTATAATTTTGTGTCAACTTTTGTCAAATACCCTGTGTTTTGGAAGATGATGCATGTTGATTCGTGTTATTACGTGTGTTTTGTGTCTTTTGAAGTCAAGTAGAGGACAAATGGAGTGAAAATTAACTGTACATCCAGAACACAGTTTATGGTTAATACTCGCTGCCCAGACAGAAAGTCTTATACACCAATAAAGTTACCATCAATAAAGTTCGTATACTATCTCGTCGTAGATAAGTGCATCTCGAATATGGTAGAAGGACCATACTAAAGACATACTAAAAACTGGAGTAGCTGTAAAATATCGACATCCCACGATAGGTAAATAATAGATTTTAGTACTGCAGAAAAATAATGTCAAAAGGTACTGGTTTAAAATTTAGATTGAAGTTAATTAATCAACCTTTACGGTATAAAATTTGGTAAGTGTTATTATTAATAAAATAGTTTGTTTTATTTATGTTGTTTTATTTATTCCTGTGGAATATTACAAATTTGTATTTGTACATAAGTTATATTATTAAATAATATAATCGTAAATGCGGAAAGTTTCCTAAAGCTTGATAGTAAGAAATAGTTTTTTTTATATTTTTTTGGTATGTGGTATCTTGTTCCTGTTTGTTTTGTATTAACACATACCATTTTTTATTAAATAAAATAACTCGATTACATTTTTTCAGTTTTATACAGTTTTTTTTTCACAATATATTGAAGTAATCACTTGTCAGTTAAATATCAAAAGTCAGTTTAAATATATTAATTTCCTGCTATGCGTTCCAGTTGTACCAACTTATTTCTTTGTAAAATAAAATAAACTACTTTGAAATTAAAATGACAGACACATCTATCACTGTCAAGGATCTTCTCGTTGGACAGACTATAATTTATTTTCATGTATGTTTAATGCGTTGCTAGTCTAGTTTAGTCTAGTAAACCAGTATTCTTTTTTTAGTACGTCTAAAATTCAAGTAAAGCATCTTACTCATGTATCACTCATGTATATACAGGGTGAGTTTCCTACGATGTTCTCTATGGGTATCTCGGAAACTACTGGAGATGGAGAGTCGGTTAAATGAGGAAAGAAAGAATTGCAGTTTTGTGGGATCATAAATATGCGCCTTTTAGATTTTTGAAAAAGTGCATGGCTTACTAGATATTTCGAAAAAAAAACAAATTTCGGCCATTTTGAAAATTGTCCCTAATTCCATTATAATCTATTTTAGACAAAACGTTTTCAGATAAAAGTTGTAGATACTCACATCCTTAATGAGATTGTGTCCTTCGTTTTTTTCTAAAGCCTGTCATTTTTGACATATGACACAAACATATGTTTTTTAAATGAAAACCATAGTTGGCTATGACCATAGACAAACTAACAAAAGCAAGACGCGTCAACGCTGTACTGCAAAACGGTAACAAGTTTGATAAGAGTTTATCACCGCGCTTGCGTCAACTGGCCTTTTAGACGAGGACGGTTTACTTATGGATTCTGTATTTTATAGTAGCCTTTTAGACAAGGATGTTTAATTAAAAAGCGTTTATTAAAATCAAATAAATTTATTTCCATCGGTAAAATAAACAATAATTTCTGGACATAACAGATATAAAAACAAAAGTTAAATAAACGAAAACGTATTCCTCTTATTAAAATAACAAAAAGATGATAAACAAATAACAGTTATGGTAAACGAAATAAAAGCATTATTCTTCAAAAGGTACAAAAAAATAATTATGTATATTATAATATTAATAATAGGAACAACAAGAAACATCTTAAAAATATACAACTTTTTCAAATATAAAACAAAAACATAAACTTCACATTTTCACAAGAATTTGCAAAAATATTAACATTTCGAGTCTATTATAAAATATAAAGCACGAAAATTCAAATCATAAAAAGATTAAAAAGATAAAGATTCTTATAACTTACAGTCAACTTGTAGGACCTTCGTTTTGTCTACGTTAGCGATGTAATCAAAATAATATGTATAATCACAGTAATTATTATGTTCTTCATAAATGTAAAATGTATTAAATTATTTGTTTTCGTTTTGTACGCTAATAAAATAATAGTAATAAGCAAACAAAACGCAAAATCAGGAATTCAACAGTTCGTTCAAGGATGGTTCAAGGCAAAAACGTTTTTCGTTTTATTTAGGTTAGGTTTGACGAGTGCGACTGCGCGATGATTTCTGACTCAACTGGCCAGCGCAAAAACAATAATTCGACTTCCTCAATCCTTTGAAAAGTCTTGCTTTTGTTAGTTTGTCTATGGCTATGACTTCATAAAAAGCGCCATTTTTTAAGCTTTTCAGCGATATAAGCTATAATATGTTTTCTTCGAAAAATTACTGAGTTAAACCAATTCTTATAGTTTTTAAACAATTTCACTTAGTTAGCCATGGAAACAAGTTCAATCGCCGTTGCTTTCAGAAATGTGAAGCTGTCACATCCAAACTTTGTAAATTAAAATAAACAAAAATTGTAAATATGAACTTCGACTCTGTGAACAGAGATGCACTTTGGGCAATTATGAAAAAGTTCGGAGTACCCATCAAATTTCTTACAGTGTGTAAAAGCCTCCATAACAACAACAAATCAAGAGTGTCATATCATGGGTCACTGAGCGATCCCTTCCTAACAAACACAGGCATTAAGCAGGGATGTGTCTTAGCGCCTCCCCTATTCAATATATTCATGGCAGCCTTTGAATAAGAAGACTAAGGAAGGAGCATAATGCTATCCATGTATTCATGCATGGTGGGCGGAAAAGCCACCATAAAAGCTCTCTAGGGTGGGGATCCTTGACAGTTCTGTTTGACGATTCATTTGACACATTTGAATTTGATTTGAAATTTTGTGGATTTGTCAGCCTTTACGGAGCTTATTTTATGTTATTTATTATTTATTCTACTACTGATAGTTGTATAAAGGTAGTAAATCTAGATGGAAATTTTGGCAGAACTTAAATTAACAGGACACTATCGCGATTTATCGAAAATGTCTCTAAAATAGTTGGTTGTGTAGCGTGCGGTAGATCTCGGCAAAAATTGAGTGAAATAATGGAACAAGTTTTCGCTAGTAAGTGACTATATAATATACATACGTGTAGTAAACCGATCATTTATGAAATTCACTTAAATTAACTAAATTATATATTTTTCTTTGCATTTTAGCTTTTATTTATTACTTGTCAAAGATTAGATGTCAAAGAATTTAGATACGTTAATTTGACTTACCTGCTTCAGTAGCGTATCGGATGTTTGTGGTAATAAATATTTATTATAACTTATCTATTTTTATTAGAATTATATATTTTTATAACAATTTTAATAACTACCAACATTTATTCACAACGTAAAGAAAACAACAAATTATTGAGTCTACCCTATCTACCCTACATCATAGTTTTACATTTTTTAAATAAAATTAGAACGACACTGATAAACCGGAATTTAAGTCGGCCATATTTGAGGCCCATCGCGGTGTACTTAAGATTTTTGATATGCTCCTTCCTTAGTCTTCTTATTCAAAGATGGCAGCGCTCTCCATTATAGTGGACAGCAAACTGCAGGAGAGAGGTTTGGGCATTAGATACAGATACGACGGCGGTCTGTTTAACATAAAAAGACTCAGGGCAAAAACACGTACAAAATTCATCACAGAACTTCAATACGCTGATGACTGTGCTCTAGTTGCAAATACGTTACAGCAATTGCAAGAAATGTTGAACACATATACATGGGCATACGGGGCCTTGGGATTTTAACTGAACATCGATAAAACTAAAATCATGTGCACTCCCCCGGAAGATCACAACAATGCTATGAAAATCGGAGATGAACTGTTGGAATATGTAGTGGAATTTAATTACCTCGGCAGTTTGATTTCGGAAAAGGCCAATATCGACTCTGAAATTCAGCACAGGATTAGCAGCGCCTCAAGAGCATTCTGGAAATTAAAAGATAGGGTTTTCTACAATCATGACTTGGGCACAAAAACGAAACTTGCGGTGTACCGAGCGATCATAATTCCCACCATGTTATATGGAAGCGAAACCTGGGTGCCATACCGCCGACACATGAACGCATTAAACAAGTTGCAGCAGAGACATCTTAGACAACTCTTAAGAATAAAATGGTTCCATCACGTCTCAAACGTATCGGTCCTTGAAAAAGCTAACTGCGAGAGTATTGAAGTCATGATTACAAAGTCCCGCTTAAGATGGGCTGGTCACGTATGCAGAATGCAAGAAAACCGCATAGCAAAATCTCTGCTTTACGGTGAGCTTGTAGACGGTAAGAGGAGGCCGGGTGGACAACTCAAAAGGTTCAAGGATATTTTCCACGAAAACTTAAAGGGAATTAACAAGCAGAATGAGTGGGAAGAGGCAGCTCACAATAGAACGGAATGGAGAAGAATTGTAA